GCTAGAAGTCTGAATTCAGGGTGCCAGCTCCAGGGGAAGGCTTTCCCTCTCTGTTGGCTCTGGAGGAAGGTCCTTGTCATCAATCTTCCCCTGGTCTAGGAGCTCCTCAGGCGCAGGGACCACAGGTCCAAAGGACGCCCTCTGCTCTTGGCACTACTTTCTTGGTGGTATGAGGTTCCTCTCCTCTCTGCCAGATTCTCTCTTTTACATCTCAAAAGAGACAGACTCAAGATACAGTCTAATCCTGTAGATTGAGTCCTGCCTCATTAACATAACTGCCTCTAATCCTGCCTCATTAACATCATAGAGGTTAGGATTTACAACACAGGATAATCACATCAGATCACAGAATGGTGGACAACCACACAATACTGGGAATCATGGCCTAGCCAAGTTGATACATACTTTTGGGGGGACACAATTCAATCTGTAACATGTGGCTTCTCCAGGTTGTTTTTGAAGGAAGTAAGTACCCTATGAGGGATGTTCCTCTTGAAGTCCTAAATGAAAAAGTGGAGCAAAAGCTCATCCTCTGCATTTGGCTTTTCTGGAAGCCTACTTGATAGGCTCCCTTGCTCTGGAGAGTGACTGTCTTTATGATACATGCCTCACTGCTGGCTTCCTCCATCCTCTCCTCTCTTTTATTCTTTTACCCACAACCCACTGAGGGAGAGGGACAGGCTTCCTACTTCCTCTCTGGACGTGCCTTATGCTGTATGCCCCCTTCTTGAGGGCACAAAGCCTATGGCTCAGCCTTACTGGGGAAGGGACATCCTCAAACTCCTCTCTATATTACAGAAGAAATGCTATCACTGAGTCCCCTAAACTTGACCCTTAAAATGTTACCGGGAATTAAATCAAATTAGAAAATCCTCATCTATCTCTATTAAGCTTGTCTTTCAAAAAAATTCTGTTTAATAATCAGAAGTTGAACCTTATTGCCTTCTCTTTGCATCCTGCTAACCACAACCCAATCACCCTTCTGCCATACCACCCCTTTCAAGTCCCCAAGACAAACAGCTCAGCGGACAAGGGAGATGGTCAATGTAAACAGAATGGCAAAAGAGAAAAGCATATTCACATTTATGAAATTATATTACCCCTTCTTATCAGGAAAACAATTTTTATAACAAAGGTAAGAAAATGAATGCAAATTCAACTACTTCAAAATAATTTCTAAAATTTTATGGAATAGAAGTTTATATAAAACTACTTTTAGAGTGTATAGAATCACACATAATTTAGCTGTGGATTCTGACAATCTCTAGAAAAGTATCTGAATTGCTTGCACAAGAAATCTTCTCAACAGACTATTTTACAGTAAAGTATCACGAGGTATTTTGAAAGTTATGCAATTAGTGGCAAGACTTGAGATGGAATCCTAACTGGGGGCCATGATAAAATGAGTAAATTTCTTTTTCCGTGGGGCAGTGACTCTCTAATTGTATCTTGCTGTGTTTTGAAACACCTGTGAATATATATAAAGTTAGCCTGTGGCTGTGCCACATTGCAGACCTGTGACCTGTTCTTTGGGAGAAAGGTAAACAGACAGTTTCAAATTCTCTTGTCGCTCAAGAAGTTAGATATGCTATCATAACTCCCAGAAAGACAAGAGAGATTTGGTGGGTGGAGAGCATAAAAAATACCTGCAGCTGAAAGCAGACGAAAAGGAAGGCACAGGCTCTCATATCTGGAAACCAATGGAAGAAGCAGTCGGAGAATATCTTCCTACCAACACACAAAATACCTGAATGGGAGAAAGATGATCCCTTAAGAAGAGGACAACTAGAGAAGACAACTGTCAGGAAAAGGTAGATTTCACACCATGAGGAAGAAAATCTTTTTTTTTTTTTTTTCCACTGAAGATGGATACGTTTTAAAAGAGGAGGAAAGCTACCAGTAGTAGTTATAAATTAACCATAGAAAAAGATGTCTTTTATCAAAGCCTTTTAATTTTATTTTATTACATCATTCTCATGGGCATATACTTAAAGTTGACATTCACAAATATCGACCCACAGATGCAAATGTTCAGTAAATTCTCCCTGAAGAATAGTGCCTATCTCTCCACCCAGTCAAGGAAGCACATAGCATCAATTACTTGGTCAAGACTCTCTACTGCTACCTGGTGGCAAAATGCACATATTGAAGAAGCAATAATACGTCAGGGGTTCTAATGCAAAATACCAGTGACAGGTTGGTGCTGTGACAAGAGTCATATGAGAGACATAGGTCATTCCGGAAATCAAGAATATATGGTGAGAAATCCATTGGGAAGAAGAAAAAGTGCAGTTTTCAAGAATGGTCCAATCATGAAAATACAGCTTCTTTTCTTAAAAAGCAGAAAATAGAACTCTCTGCCTCACCAGTGCAGTGGATTGCTAAACTTCAGAATCTGAGTGACAACAAAATCTAAAAAAAATTAACGTCCCATTAATGTCTACATATCTTACTCTCTATGTAAGAACACAGTAGTTTTCAACAGTCCATTTATTAAAAGTCCATGAAATAAGGTCTATTATATGAACTTTAGTGAGGGAATATATCTCAGCATGCCCACCATTATGGTAAAGTAGCATTAAGTAGGCAGAGCTGGGCTTCACCTCCTCCTCATTTCTCAGGCTGAAGTCAAGTCTTCCATTTTTAGACCAGCTGCTGTTGGTTGATTGGAATGGAAAGAGATACTACGAAACAAACACATGGCTGATAATCCTCAGTGACCTCATTTGCACTTTTAACCTTCCACTCAAAGTACAGACATTACTTGATTGAGTGATGGGCCAGGAAGAGATGAATGGAAGCAAAGAGTTCCTTATCTCAGCAATAACACAGGCTGGGCAATACTCAGTGTTCTGCGCAAAATAAAAATGTAACAGATGCACAAAGGATATTTCCTAGAAACTCAAAATATTTGGACAAGCTCCCAAGTTAGGAAAAAACAATATCAGAGTCATTCTTGCCTCATCACAAGTGTCTCTGATTTTGCCAAGTACTCTCCCACCAAGCACACCACCTCCACGGAAGAAGATGCAGTAGGCATGAAAATGAGGCTTTCTTCCCACATGATTCAGACAGCTGTGTGTAACACTCTCTTTGATAAACATATATTTTTTAAACCTTTTCAGTTTAGAGAGATTCAAAGCTTTCCAGAAATTGAACTTGAAGCCCACTATTGTTTATTAAGTTGGAGAAAGCCAGAACTCAAAGACAGAAAAATAGAGGACTGAGTATTAATTCAGACAGTGGGCAGCATGCTGCTAAAAGGTAGTCTATCAAGTGATGAATACATAATTTGGGCAAGAAGTTTTAAATTAGCTTTAATTATGTAAGTAATACATGAGTACATTCTTTTTAAAAATTCTTTTTAAGAATTAGAATATTGTAAGTAAACCTAGGACTTCTCCCTTCTGAAAGAACCACTGTGTCTTCAATGTGCAGTGTACCCTTACAAATCTTAAAACACACACACACACATGCTCATAAAAATATATAGTTTATTGTGTATGAGTATGTGTGTTTTATATATGGTAACAATAATCCATATATTTTTGAGACCTATCTATACTGATACTATAACCAAATAATATTTCAAAACAGGTGGCAATTATGGCTTCCCCAAAACTTTTCACAATGCGACTGTCAAAGATAGGTATTGGGTAGATGGTTTAAAGGTCTGACCCAGAAGCCACGACCTTAAATGTTTACAGAGGCTAGGCAGATAACATAAATGCCTGAATCAGGATGAACAGCAACTGATACTTAAGCCTTCAGTATTAGGGATACAATAGGGAGTGGTGTGGACCATGGCAAACCAGAGAGAGTGTGTCCTGACCTTGAGGAGGGTAGCTGCTACCTAGCTCCAGCCAATTATTGCTATACGAAAATGCAAGTTGTCAGATCTTTCTATTGTTAAAGAATTTTTTTTAAAAAAACTTATTTTTTATGTAAAAAGCTCTTGATTTTTAAGTTCTGACCATTTAAAATTCAGAGTTAAAAAAATATATACACACTGTGCAGGCTGACACTTGACTGGTCACACTGAGAGCTGAATTTGGACCACGCAGTTTGCAACTCTGGTCTAACTCCAGTACATATTTCTACTGGCACAACTGATGCATCAATAAAACATTCTTTGAGAAATTAATATGTGCAAGACAGATCTTTTGAAGGCATTGGTTCTTTTTATATGTAAAGATATCCCAGGTAATTTGAGCTATTCTCTTTCTTCCATTTCCATTTTGGAATAAATTTTTGAAAACAGATAGAACAAGACTACCCATTGAACTACCTTTTTCTTCTTATTTCCTAGGCATTTTCAATTTTAGCAGAAGAGTGTCAAATTGCTTCATCTTGAAAACTTATTGGCCCCTACACTTCACGTCTTCTAAGTGAGGGAAGATGCCCCAGATGTACTCAGAGAGGGGACACACGCTCATGGTTACAGGGAAGAAGAGTTCTTCTGAGGGCACCTTGTGACAAATGCCAGACAGAGGCCCAGTATGAGACACTATCTGGGGGAGAAAATGCTGACCTTGAATCTGCCCACTGTAAGATCACACAGTTCAAAGGGCCCCAGGTGGAAGTGAAGATCTTTGCTAAAGGAAGGAAAAGAATCATCCTCTGTCCTCTCTGCTCTCCTTTGGAAGGAGAAGACGTGCAATAGCACAATACTTGTTTAAGACATGGTGTATTTAACCACCAACCATTTTCACCAAACCCCGTCCGGAGGTTTAAAACTGAGCACAGAGGCTATGAATACAAAACAATCTTTTCTCTGTAAAATCGAAGTTTGTTTCCTACCGATAGGCGTTTAGGAGGAGGAACTTGAGAGAGATTAGCAATTTTTAGTAATGGATTGCCAAGACAGATGATATATTTAATGATACATGCTTATATAAAAATCATTGATGAGTTTCCATTGAACAAACTTATTATTTTTAAAATTCAGGGTGTGCTGGGCTTCAGATGCATGGAGAAGTTTATGAAGAGAATCATCCTACCTTGAAAATGAAATCCGCCATCAGAGGTCCTGCAATCTTAAAGGTTTGCCTCTCTGACCCCCTCAGAAATTCAACTGTTGTGTTTTCTACAACAAAAACTCCAGGGCTGTTAAAGCTGTGTTCTCCTTTGCTTCCTTGAAGTGTTTTTGACTCGATAACTAAAATTAAAAAATACAATTCAAATAAGATAAATACATATCTAAAAGAATTTTATTTCAAAAGACATTTTGCAAATACAACATCAGCATATGATAGCAAAATAACTACTATATTTAGTCAAACATCGATTCATATTGATGGAATAGAATTGTAAGATTTTTAGTTGCCCAGAAAAAGGAGCTAACAAGAGTGCTAGGATCAATTATTGTTAGGTTGTTAGGTGCTATCCAGTTGGTTCTGACTCACAGTGACCCTATGTACAAGGGGACAAAACACTGCCTGTTCCTGCACCATCCTCACAATCATTGCTATGTTTAAGCCCATTGTTGCAGCCACTATGTCAATCCATCTCATTGAGGTTCTTCTTCTTTTTCACTGACCCTCCACTCTACCAAGCATGATGTCCTTCTCCAGGGACTGGTCTCTCCTGATACCATGTCCAAAGTATGTGAAACGAAGTCTCACCATCCTCGCTCTTAAGGGGCATTCTGGCTCCTTAGAACTCTGGTCCACACAACTCTTTGGTGCCATTTCTACCATCAGAGAAAGGACAAAAATTTTGTTTCTTTATATTTTTTTCATGATGCAGTTATTACTGAGAGTAAAGCTACATTACTCAATTTATCACCTGTTGAGAAGATTTTTAATTTAGACAAAACCAGAATGAATCTCTAATTTGTTTTTTGTCATAACTTTTTATTTTGAAACAATTATACATTCACAAGAAGTTGCAAAAACAGTACAGAGAGGTCCCTTCATCTGGTTTCCTGCAATGGTTACATCTTGAATAACTACAGTACAATATCAAAGCTAGGAAACTGACTCTGGTACAATATGTATGTATAGTTCTATGCCATTTTATCACACACCATTACAATCAAGATACGCTCACCACAAAGATCTCCCTCATGCTTCCCCTTTATTCAGATTTGTGTTTATATGAACATAAGTGATTTTATTCTGCTACAGAAAAATGTTTACCTATGGTTGCCTTCCATACGGGACACCGGGTTCATTTCCCAGCCAATGCACCTCATGTGCAGTCACCACCCTTTTGTCAATGTAGGCTTGTGTGTTGTCATGATGCTGAACAGGTTTCAGCTGAGCTTCCAGACTAAGACAGACTAGGTAGAAAGGCTTGGAGGTCTACTTCCAAAATTCAGCCAATGAAAACCCTATGGATCACAGTGGTCCCATCCACAACTGATCAAGGGGATAGTGCAGGACCAGGCAGCATTTCATTCTGTTGTGTATGGGACCGGGTCACCATGAGTGGAGGGTCGACTCGACAGCAGCCAACAGCACAGTCTGAGCAAAATAGCATTTCTATGTTATTTGGAGGGTTTCTTTTTTTCCTCTTTCTTTTCTTTTGTAAATGTTACCATATTTAGAACACCTGATCTGAAGCTGAGGGAGCAGTAAAAAGAATACAGGACTTTGAGCTGGGGCACCTGCTTTTCTGGCCCCAGCTCTATCCCTAAGTTGCCGCTGTGTGTTTTCATTGCCTCTTTTCAAAAATAAGGAGTCAGAGCAGACAATCTCCCATGTCCTCTGTACTCTGAAACTTCCACTAGAGTTAATGGTATTGTATCACTCTTTAATGATCTCCAGCAAAGAACACAACAGCACCAAAACCCTATTCAGATTAAAACTTAAACATGGAAAGGCAATAGAACCCAACGAGATGGTCCAACATTAGGGGCTGCGATCACATGCCTCTGGGCTTGGTTGCTTTCATTTGCTGGATTTTTTTCCCTGCCCCTGGAGCAGCTGCAGGAATTCAAGCACACTGGACAGACTGTATAACAGGCATTAGGAGACATCCCTGATTATGCTTGACAGGCAGGCTGGGAACCTTTCTGGGAAAATTCAAAGGCTGGACATGAGCTACTTGATCTGGAGGAATCATTAGTGGTTAAAGAATAATGCTGGCTACTTTCAGGCACACAAAACCCCAACCACTTTGGCCCTGGTCTCCATGACCACAGTAGATTTTTGGAAAGTGTGAGATTAAGTTCATTTCCTAGTTCCTATGAAGATATAAAACTGAGTGTTATAAAGTGAGTTGTCAGTAAAAAAGAGATGGGAAACTGGAGATAGGAAGAGGGCCCTAAATTGGATGCATTAAGCCTCCAAAGTGAAGCAGGAAAAACAATGAGCATGAAGGCAACATCAAAATGCAAAACGAAGTTGGACAAAATCCATCCGCATAGAAAACATCCAGCTTCCAGACTGAGGTTTAGCCTACAGTGACTTGATTAAATGCAAATAATATGCAATAAATTCCATTGCCGTGTTGGAGTGTAATTGCTTTACCACCGTGCAAACCTTTTGGATCACTGTGTTCCAAGTTTCATGGGGATGCAGAGCTGGGGCAATGGATGTAAAAATCTGGAAAGATGATCTGGGAGAAAAGGAAGACCAGTTGCAATGAAATCCACCGCCTCAATCAAAGCCTAAAATTTCTGTTTGTTTGGTTTTAGTGTTTATTTCAAATGTCAGGTCTACTCCATTATTTCAACATCGTCAGTGACAAGGATACTAAAATACAAGTAGCAAAATCAGTTTTCAAGTGTGCGTACATTACCCAAACCACTATTCTCCTCCACTGAACCATATGTTGTTGTTGTCGTTAGGGGTCTTCCAGTCGGTTCCGACTCATAGCGACCCTATGTACAACACAACAAAACACTGCCTGTCTTTATGCTGAGGTGTAATCATCATTAAGTGCTTCAAGTCCCCTTTGCTTTCAGCAAGCAAGGTTGTGTCATCTGTATATTGGAGGTTGTTAACCAGTCTTCCTCCAATCCTGATGCTGCATTCTTCTTCATATAGTCTGGCTTCTTGAATTATGTGCTCAGCATACAGACCGAATAAGTATGGTGAAAACATACAACACTGACACACACCTTTTCTGATTTTAAATCACTCAGTATCCCCTTGTTCTATTCAAACGACTGCCTCTTGGTCTATGTACAGGTTCCCTATGAGCACAATTAAGTGTTCTGGAATTCCCATTCTTCCCAATGTTATTTATAATTTGTTATGATCCACACAGTCAAATGCCTTTGTATAGTCAATAAAACACAGGTAAACATCTTTCTGGTATTCTCTGCTTTTAGCCAAGATCCATCTGACATCAGCAATGATACCCCTCAAGGATTCCCATAGAATCCTTCAATAGTGCAACCCGAGGCTTGATTTTTTTTTTTTTTTTTTTTCCCAGTTCTTCCAGCTTGAGAAATGCCTAGCGTGTTTTTCCCTTTTGGTTTTCTAACTTCAGGTCTTTGCACATTTCATTATAATACTTTACTCTATCTTCCTGAGCCCTTCAAAATCTTCTGTTCAGCTCTTTTACTTATCTCTTCTTCATTTTGCTTTAGCTACTCTACATTCAAGAGCAAGCTTCAGAGTCTCTTCTGACATCCATTTTGGTGTTTTCTTTCTTTCCTGTCTTTTTAATGACCTTCTGCTTTCTGAACCATATGCTTATTGTAAAATATCTTTTTTTCCAATTATTTCAAAAGGCTTTCAGTACTCTAATTCACAAACACAGGTTGTATAGAGAGGAGGTGGAAAACAGGTGCTCTGGCCCTGATTGTGTAAACAAGTAAACAGTCAAAAGTGGGCAAATAAAGACAGGTTGAGTGATTTGATTAAAGTGGAGTTTATGAAGGCAAAACATTCTGATAATCTGTATTAACAAAACCACTGTGCCACAGGGAGCTGGAAGCCAATGTGGTACTTCAAAAGCTGTAATTTTTATTGGTGGTAGATCTGCTGCTCCTTAGTGCCTGTGCCTCTCAACATAAATGTCAGAAAAGGAGTTGGTGGTTTTTCCAATCAACAATTCAGACGATGTGTTAGCCTGTGAATCGTCTTTAATTAAGTTTTTAAAAATCCATTACTAGCATTTCCATGTATTTTGTGGCAGCCCCAAGGTTGCGACAATTGGCAATTCAGGGCTCATGAGAAATCTCGCAACCCCTCTTTGGTTTTTGCAGCAAGGTGGCTGGTGCTGGGTGGGGAGCCCAGGAAGCACAGTGAAGGGAAGGACTGTGAGCCTCCTTGCCTGCTGCACACTGTCTGCTCTGACTTCCTTCTCCTCTCCCGGCTTAATACTGGGGAGGAAGGGAATGTTGACAAAGAGATGATCTGTGACCTCAAAAAGGTGACACTGAGAATCTCAGAATCTTCACCACTGAAGTCTGCAGTGATGCTTTCAAATATTTTGATGCCTACTCATTATTTTTAAAAGAAATGATGTGTTGTCGAGTAACAATTTTCACCAAAGTCTTCTGCAACAAAGACATTTTTATTGTGACATATCAGAAAACAGAAATGGGAAATTGGCTGCAAGCACTTAGGTTATAAACAGACCAAAATACATCGAAGTACAATCTATAAGTGCTTTTTATACAGTTTTGACATGTGCTGCTACATTAGGAGTAAGGGTCTTTTAACACGCCCTTTACAATTATTGGAATACATACCTATGCGTAACTGACTTACAGACTATGATTGGTTAAAGTAAAGACAAAGAACTAAGATCATGATTGGATGATCTTTTCTTATTTTTCTTTTCTAACAATTTAGCCTATTGGCTCAGGGGTCCTGAGTCTGTCATATGATGGTTGTTTTTTGATATGTGGGCTACATATGATATTGGGCAGATCTTTGACTCGCTTCCTGGGGTAGATTGTTATTTAGTTTTGGTACATATGCCCACAGTCCACTGAACCGGTTAGAGCACTGTGTCCCACCCCTTTGATGTAGTTTCTTATTATTCGAAGTCCTACAGATTCTGACAAACAAGTTGGCCTTTTGTGGTTATGGCCTGCTGTGTTTAGGTTAACCCTTTATCAGATGAATGGAAAGATGATAAATTCTTCTCATTGAAAGGCTTTCACTGAGAAGTATCAGTCTAAGCTTCTTTCGAAAGAGGAAGATAGATAGCTGCCATTGAGTCGACTCTGACTCATGGTGACCTTGTATACAACAGAACAAAATGTTGCCCAGTCCTGCATCATCCTCATGATCGCCGGTACGTTCGAGTCCATCACTGCGGCTAGTGTGCTAATCTATCTCACCAAAGGCCTCCTTCGCCCTCACTGGCCCTCTACTTGACCAGGCATGATGTCCTCCTCCAGTGTTCGATCCCTCCTGATCAAAGAAAGCGAGTCGACAATGTTCTACTGGGATGCATAAGGTTTTCACTGGCTAAATTTTAGAAGTAGGTCTTTAGGCCTTTCTTTCTAGTCTGTCATAGTCTGGAAGTTCCACTGAAACCTGTTCATCATGGATGACCCTGCTGGTATTTGAAATACCAGTGGCATAGCTTCCAGCATCACAGCAACACACGAGCAACCACAGTACAACAAAAAGACAGATAGATGACTAATGGTCAAAAGAGGAAAGGGTCATGTTAATCATCCCGAAGAGGTCTTCTTAAATTTTAAGAAGGCCATAAACATTTTGTTATGTAAACATGTAATTAACATTTAGCACAACTAACTTAGTTATAAATACCTCAAACTTATGCTAAGAGTAGCGCTGTATTTTTATATTGTATGTACACTTCATTCAGCATCAGTTTCCTCTGTCTGGTCATTATGTATAGTAGCCACGTTTACATATGGTCATCGGGCAGGACTTAGAGAAAAAAAAAATCAACCTTCTAACTGTATAATGGAGATTTTCAGTTTATGGCATCTTGGCTTTTTGAGTTTATTGCTAGTCAAACATTTAATGCTGAAATTGTGCCACAATACAATCTCTTTGCAAAGATCTTCCTGCCATCATTATTGAAGGTATTCACTGCAGGGAAATTTGGGACTATGTGTTCACTATAATGCCAGGCCAAGGCTTGGGATGGGACTGGTAATTTAGGACCTAAATACCTCTAGGTCATATGTAAGATTCCATAGCTGCATTCCACTCCACAGCAAAGAGACTAACAGTATGGTAGTGTTCTTGGGTGTTGGTGCTCGATAACACAGACTTTTGGAGGGTTGTAGTTAATGTGGATCTTAAAAGAATAATTTATTATTGCAAAATAAGCTTACTGGTTGTTAACATCAGATATATATCTTTGTTATTGTAGAGAATTTAAAAAAAGCTGCATAAATCAAGAAAACAAAACTTTCTATATTTAGATGTTCAGAAATATTAACTAAATTCTTGGTAAATGAAGCCAGTTCCATTCATCAACAAGGAGGATAACTTTCAGAAACATTTACAGGTCTAAAAGTGAGACTGGTCAGAAGGGAAATTTTTCCAAGCAACAGATGTGTCACTTTCAGAGACATAGGAACATTTTTGAGACCTGGACATGGAACAGTACCAGTCCTGAGTATAAAGTTATGCTTAATATGCATGCAAGTGAGTGTTTTGCTTCAAATTATTCATCTCTAAAGGCTGTTTACTTATTCTGTTTTACAATTTATAAAACCATTTTTTAGAGCCGAATCTTTGGCAACTGCCTTTAGTACCATGAGAAAATCAGGCCCAGGCACTTTATATTTTTTGTTTGCTTTTTAAAACATCTTTATTGAGGTATAATCTACATACCAAAAAATTCACTCATTTAAAGTGTACACTTTAATGGTTTTCAGTATATTCACAAGGTTGTGCAACCATTACCATGAACTAAGTTAGAACCGCAAAAAGAAACCCAGGACTTTTTAGCAGCCACTCCTCATTCCCCACTGCTCACTCCCCATTGCCCCTGGCAACCACTAATCTACTTTCTGTCTCTAAGGATTTGCCTATTGTGGAGATTTCACATAAATGGGATCATACAATATATGACTTTTTGTGACTTCTTTCACTTAACATAATGTTTTCAAGGTTCGTGCATGTCGTAGTATGTTTCACTACTTCGTTTCTTTTTATTGTTGAGTATGATCCCATTGTATATATAGGCCACATTTTATTTATCCATGCATCAACTGAGGGACGTTTCGGTTGTTTCTTCTTTTTGGCTATTATGAATAATGCTGCTATGAACATCTGTCACCTCAAAATTTTGGATCCAAAACAGTATTTTATAATGCGATCACTCAAATGAATCACCAAACTTGGATCTGAATGATTTCTCACTGTTTCCAAAAATAAAACTTATATTTAAAAGGATAAAGATTTACTGTCATTAAGGGGCTGCGGGCCTTAAAGACCATTTAAACAAGAAGTTTAAAAAATGTTTTCATGCTTCTCTAGAGAGAAAGCCTTGAATGAAATGACTTTTATATACCTGTGTCTTAGGCTGGGTTCTCTAGAGAAGTAAAACCAGTGAAGTATATATATATATACACACACACACACACACATATATACACAACACACACACGTGTGTGTGTGTGTCTACACACAGAGAGATTTATCTCAAGGAAATGGCTCACACAGTTGTAGACGCTGGCAAGTCCCAAGTCCGTGGGTCAGGCATCAGGCTGGAGACTTCTCCTGACTCACATAGCTACAGGGACTGATGAACCCAAGATTGGCAGGCAATATAACACGCCGCTGGCTCAAGTCCCAAGAACAGCAGCCAGATGATGATGAGCCAGATGCAGGATCCAAAGCAAGCAAGCAAGCTTTGCCAGAATGTCCATATATACATTGGATGCAGGTCACACCCCCAAGGAAACTCCCCTTACAACTGATTGGCTGATCACATCAGATCGCATCATGAAGGATGACTACGTCATTACACAACTGCCAAACTACATCATTACATAACTGCCAAGCCACTGAGAATCATGGCCCAGCCAAGCTGATACACAGCTTTAACCATCACAACCTGTAAACATTTTAGTATGTCTGTAAAAAATTTATATAATTTATATAATAAAATTAAGAGCAAAAAAGGCTTTCCAATGAATTGTTTACTGTCATTGTTACAAAGATGTTCTCTTATTTCTCTAATTTAGATCATAACGTACCACAGGATTTTTTTGTTTTTAATATTTTCCTCTATACTACTGGTGACCATAAGAAACATTCCAACAATATTTTGATATAAACTTATCTCAAAGAGCATTTCTGCTTGGAACATTAGTTCTGGATGCAAAACATACAAAATCCATCCCACTCACTGAAACACAGTGGTTTCGTTACACACACATGCACTCACACATACAATGCAGGCACACACATACGCAAACATACACATGCATGCACACACACACGTGCACAGGCACACTTAAAAATCTCCAAAAATGTGCGATGCTTCTGGTCCTGAGAAATCCTTGTGAATGAAGAAGCTCAGATGGTGGCCCAGAAACAAATTGACACAATATGTAACTCTGATCCACTAAACCTGGATTTTTGTGGTTTTAAAACAGTTACAGTTTTGTACTTTTTATAGGGAAAAAAAGTCCTTCAAGGTCAGAGGGGCCAGACTGGTGATCACCCATTTTCCTTTGAATAGGACTAAGAAAGCCCTGTCTTGTGGCCACAGGAGACCTTGGGAAACAAGGAGACAAACTCTGGCATTTTCAGTTCTTTTAGATCCTAATAGATCAGAAAAACTAAGATAAGAAGCCTGTGGACTTTGTTCAAGGAAACAATACAATCACAATACTCTATTGTTTCACACTCTCAGTACTATCTGGGAAACCAGTTTCTACTGTCGGGGCTCTGTAGACCAGAAGTCATGATGTGCAGGCAACAAGTTTGTCCTCTTCAGCTATATTCATTGATAAGGCTCTGTGTTTTAAATTTTTTATTTTGTTTTGTCCCAAACTGCTGAAATCTCTAGAAGATCCCAATTCCTAATACATTCTCCACATAAAAATAGTTTGTTTCAAAAAGAAATTGATTTCTCTCCCATGGGGGATTAATTCCAAACTGCAATATTTCTCACTGGGGCATGAAAACAGAAAAATTTAGGGTATAGATAATTTCTCTGGTGATGCAGATTATTTTGGGCAAAGTCCCTGAGATGTTTGTCTACTGAGCCATTAACACAAAGAGTTTGTTTGGGCTAAATAAACTTTCAGCAAGTAAAAAATATTAAGATTAAATTCTACTTACAGAGATGTGCAGGTCCTTTCACTGTAATTCTCACACTGCGACTTCCCAAAGGGACAGCAATGACATTTTCTTCTCCTACGAAAGAACATAAATAAGACGAATGTAGTAAATCTTATGCACTGACCCATTTCCATCCAGTTGATTCCAACTCATTTCGACCCTGTAAGACAGAGTAGAACTGCTCTATAGGGTTTCCAAGGCTATAATCTTTATGGGAGCAGACTGCCATATCTTTCTCCCATGGAGCAGTTGGTGGGTTCGAGCTACCAGTCTCTCAGTTAGCAGCCAAGTGCTCAACCTCTGCGCCACCAGGGCTCCTTTGTGCACTAAAGGTTCATCAAAATAAACAAGTCAATCAAAACCAAGGGCACCCGCAAAGTGCTCTTAGCAGCATTTTACTTCCATTTGTACAGTCAAGGAATCTTTGGGAAGCACCTACTATGTATGCATAAGGCACATTAATAGTATTCACATCGCCTATCACCTCGATTGCCTTTGTCACCCAGGCCTTAAGAAGCCCCGATGGTACAACAGTTAAGCACTGGGCTGCTAACTGAAAGGTTGGCAGTTGGAAGCCACCCAGCAGTTCCGTAGGAGAAATACCTGGCAATCTGCTTCCATAAAGACGTCAGCCTAGAAAACCTTATGAGGCAGTTCTACTTTGTCACGTGGGGTCACTATGAGTAGGAACCAACTCAAGCATACCGAACGACAAAAACAACCCAGGCCTCAGATACCTTGATTCGGAGCCCCGAATTAGGACTCTCAGGCCAAATCCAGCCATGCTCATTCTTTTATATATTGTTGTGGCTGCTTTTCAACCACAACAATAGCGTTGAGTAATTACGCAATAGAGAAATATGGCCTGCAAAGCCTAAAATATTTATTACTTGATCCTTTACAGAAGAAGCTTGGTGACCCCTGATCTAGGTAATTACCTACAAGAAGTCCTGGTTCTCATGGATACTTTTTCATACAGTTACATATTCTAATAATTTCATTTTTATGGCCAAATAATAATCTAAGCTCATATATAAAATTTTACCTTACTAGTCCCCTATTTGGAGCCCTGGTGGTGCAGTGATAAAGCGTTCAGCTTCTAACCAAAAGGCTGGCAGTTCGAATCTACCAGCTGCTCCTTGGAAACCCTATGGGGCAGTTCTACTCTGTCCTGTAGGGTCACTATGAATTGAAATCAACTCGACGACAATGGGTTAGTCCCCTATTTGAACATTAAGTTTGTTTCTAAATGATACTAGTACATTATCAATGATATGAATTACTTAGAGTAGACGTTGTTTATTGTTTATTTACCTAACTTACAAAAAACAATTTCTTTAGTATAAACTCTTGGGAATGGAATTGCTAGGTGAAATGATATCAATATAGTCATTGACTTTTTTGTAAGTTTTACTCAATAAGAAATACTTGTTTATTACAGAAAATTATAAAATGCAGATAAACAAAAGGAAAAAAATCGCAAACTATTTCTAACCCTACTGCCCAGAGAGAATTGCTTCTAACATTTGCTAAATGTCCTTTCAAGGTAGTTTGTTTTTTATATGTAACAGAAAACAATGAACACTACCTAAATGTCCATCGATATGGGAATGATTAAATAAACAATGATATGTTCATACTAAGGAGCCCTGGTGGCGCAGTGATTAAGCACTCAGCTGCTAACCAAAAAGTCTGTGGTTTGAACACACCAGCCACTCTGTGGGAGAAAGATGTGGCAGTCTGCTCCTGTAAAGATTTACAGCCTTGGAAACTCTGTGGGGTAGTTCTACTCTGTCCTATAGGGTCACTATGAGTTTGGGTTTTGGTTTGGGTATATTCATACTAAGGAATACTCTGCAAATGATAAAAGTAATGATAAGAAGCTACATGACCTAATATGGAAAAATCACCAATATAAATTGTTGAGTAAAAAAGAACAAGTTAGAAAGCAATATATATGATGTAATCCCATTTATAAAAGTATATGCATTGAAGTAATACATTTTTATGTGTATGTACATATATATACTTTGTAGAAATGTATATGTAAAGATTATATTACATTATATTGTGTGTAAATTCATAGAATGATACTGTACCCACATAAAAGTATAAATGCATAGTATACTGCTAATTGTATATTAGTAAATAATAGGCTGAGATTTTAATACTTTAATCCTTTAAATGATTGGAAGGATTTTCACTAAACTATTGACAATGCTCACTTCTTGGGAGGGAATTGAGAGTGGGAGAATGAAGAATCTAATCTATATTATTTGACTTTCCCATAAAAAAATACATATTCATGTGTTACTTAGCAAATAAAAATTTTAAAAGTTAAAAATCAAAAATAAACTTTCTAATAAAAGAAAGCATAAAGAAAATATAAGACCAGGGCCAAAAAGTTTCCTGGATGAGTTTTGCACAACCTTAAGCAAACAGGTAAGTCTCAGATAATAAGAAGACTGAAAGGTTTCCAGTTCATGTTATAAAGCCAACAGAGCTCTGATACCCGAATTAAACACAGAGAGCACAAAAATAAATATAGAACCAATTTTAATTATGACTATGGATATAAAAATACTAAATAAAACAAAGCAATCAATTCTAGAACTGTATAAGAAGAATTATACACCATGAGTAAATAAAATATATTCTAGATATTACAATTGACTCAACATTTGGAAAATTATTAACATAATGGATTGTATTAACAGATCAGAGAAGTTAAAACAATAACATGATTTTAATAAATATAAAAAGGTCCGTGATAAAATTCAGCATACATTACTGATAAGACTCCTTATAAAGGCAAGGATAGAAGGAATCATTCTCAGTTTGATAAAGAATATCAGAAGCTATGGGCAGACTTGATACTCTTAATGGTGGAACATTAGAATCATTCCTACAAGAGTTAGGAACAAAACAAGGATTATCATCACCCTTATTTTTCCACACTATTGTAGAGATCCTTGTCAATGTAATTAAAAAATAAACAACTTATAGAAATATATACTGGAAAAGAAAAGATTAAAAAATCCTATTATTTGTAGATTACATGACTATTTACTTTAAAAATTCAAAAGGAACAAAACTATTACAATGAAAAACAAGAAAAGAAAAAGTTCAGGAAAGTGTCCAGATATTAAATATATAGATAGATAGCTGTCTTGAACCTGAATAAGTATTTAATCAGTAAGTGTGTGTATGTGTGTGTTCCATAGTATATATTTCCTAGTTTTGTCTACTGAAAAGCCTAAAAACAATGACCAACCCAGTAGCAATGAACATCCCTCACACTCATATTGTACCTCCAAATACTATGTCCTACTAAATAAAATCAGGGCTTCTTAGAGAAATCACTTAATCTAGGTCTGAGTAGAAAATGAAAAGATAATCCTGGAACATCTTGGCATAATGAAAGCAAGGAGGCTCTCAAAGACTACTTGAGTCATATCAAAATGACTCGAGTCAGCTTGAAGAGTCTCTAACTGGACAATTTGAGCATTAATAAGAACAACAATTGCAATAGAATGAATCACAAGAAATATGTTAAAACCCATGAGTTCATAATAATACTTAAAAAAAAGTCATCGGTTACATTTTGTGGATGCTAGGAATGAGCTCCTTGTTTCGAAAGCCGGCAAATAAAAAGACTCATGCATTTATCATGTCTTTCCTATACAAACTATTCTCCTAGGGAACCAATAGTTGGTAAAGGAAAGTTTCTCACTATAGAAGTATCCTAACTCATAAACGAAGGACTAATAGAATATCATCATTTAAGGCATGATCATTAATGGCTACAACATCACAAAAAGAGAGACAATTATATATTATATGCCTCCTAATATTATGCAATAAAAAGTACATAACACAGCCTTTAGACCTAACTACTATTTATAGGAAACATAGAAACAGAGGAACATGTTAAACCACACCATGGGGATGTAATCAGAAAATACAGACTGTGGAAACTCTATAGGAAAAATAGCTAGTTTCCTCAAAAGATAAATTTCACTTTAACAACAAAGTGAAGAGACAACATATAGACTGGGAGAAAATTTTGGAGAACCATATATCAGACAAGCGTTTAATATCCAAAATATATAAAGAACTCATACAACTTAACAACAAAAAGACAAACAACTCAATTTTAAAAAATGAGTAAAAATTTAATAGACATTTCGCCAAAGAAGATATTTAAATGGCCAACAACACATGAAAAGATGCTCAACATCATTAGCCATTCGGGAGATGCAAATCAAAACCACAATGAGATACCAGTTCACCTCCACTAGGATGGCTGTCTTAGTTACCCAGTGCTGCTGTAACAGAAATACCACAAGTGGATGGCCTTAACAAACAGAAATTTACTCTCTCACAGTTTAGGAGGCCAGAGGCCAGCTCCCAGGAAAGTCTTTCTCTCTGTGTCAGTTCTGGGGGGAAGGTCCTTGTCATCAATCTTCCCCTGGTCTAGGAACTTCTCAGTGGAGGGACCCCGAGTCCAAAGGACACACTCCCCTCCCCACTGCACTTCTTTCTTGGTGGCATGAGTTTCCTCTCTCTGCTTCCTTCTCTCTCCTTTTACCTCTTTTAAGATAGAAGGTAATGCAGGCCACACCCCTAGGGAACTCGCCTTACATGTGGTCAGGGCTGCGACCTGAGTAAGGGTGCTGCATCCCTCCCTAATCCTCTTTAACATAACCTAATCTTGCCTCATTAAGCACAGGCAGAGATTAGGATTTACAACACATAGGAAAATTACATCAAATCACAAAATGGAGGACAACCACACAATACTGGGAATCATGGCCTAGCCAAGTTGACACATATTTTTGGGGGACACAATTCAATCCATGACAATGGCTAATATAAACAACAAACAAAAAAATGGAAAACAACAAATGTTGATGAGGTCGTGGAGAATTGGAACCCTTATCCATGGCATATAGGGATGAAAAATGGTACAGTCACTGTGGAAAACAGTCTGGAAGTTCCTCAGAAAGTTAAGCATAGAACTCTCATATGACCTAGTAATTCTGCTCCTTTGGTATATAGCCAAGAGACTTGTA